CATATAGCAACCATGGTACAAACAACTATTCCGGTAACTATGGCACAAATGACCATCTAAAGACTGATGTAAATGAACCCATAATAATCATCGATAAAATGTGTCAATGAAATAACTATAATTCGGGTAGTGGTGTAAAACCGCTTACAAAAGCATTTAATTAGTGAGAGTCAGACCAAATGAGCAGTATGGATTTAAAGAAATCGTTTAAATTATTCATTATTGTAGGATTGATTGTGCAATGTTGTATCAATGAATATCTAATTTATTAATAGTTTAGAATTAATGCGCGAATTGAAGCATAAAATATTGATTAATAAAACTCAAATTTTATGAATAATATAATTCATATTTTTGTACGTACAAATAGCGCCAATATAATTACAAAAAAAATCGTATTCTTGTCTAATCTTATTGAGCGCTATTTATATTTATAAAAGCAAAAAAAAATAAAACAAAAACGACAAAAAAAATTAAATTTGTAAAATGCATTATCTTTACTTAGAGTGAGAATTCTCCGAATTAAGTTTTCTGCTCGCCTAAGATATACTGGTTATATTATCAATTTTGTGTATTACTTTTTTAATGTAGCTTTTTATGCTATTACATCCGTACATGTATTCTATCAGTCTAGGGCTAAGTGAATCGCTTGACGATGAACGTTACTTGTTCATGCTAATCATGCCAAATAAAATTAGTTTTGTGCCTGATTGAATACAAAAAAATTGGGATTAAAATAAAAACATTTCAAAGTAACTGATTTAGTGGCTAATATCGTCAATGCGCACAATACTAGATATTAAATAACTAATTGAACCATATGAAAGAATACAAGTCAATGTTGAAAATTTATTATAAGAAGTATGCTAATACCATCAGCCGGAATTGATTTCAGTGAACGGTTGACTTTTTTTTTAACTATTTTAATTAAACAAGAACAAACAAAGCTGAAGTCAATAAAGAAGAGAATTATCTACTATCATTTTTCTGTGACTAAATTGAATAATCGCAATGAATGTGCTTTATCAAACATATATAAAAAGTAGGCACAGATATAACGGTACACAGATATACTATGTAAAGTCGTAAAGATATACAAATGGAATATTAAACATAAAAATTTTTCTACTTAGAATTATATAATGATAGATCCATAAATACACCACATATGCATATTCACGAAGTTACAGACAAGTACATATAAGATATAATAATAAAATTTTTAAATTCGATTCGAACTTCATTCCAACTTCAAGTTGGAGATCCCTGTCTCTGCTTCTACACATGTTAATGGAGGTTTTTCATTGATAAGAGACGTATAAAGTTCATTCGAACTATAGTCACAGAAAAACCAGCTAAAGATTTAGGTGCCCATGTTGTACATTATATCGAAAGGTATACTATTGAATTGTCGGTGGCTTTTATCTGGTTTGAATCATATGTCCAATTTAAGAAATTTAGCAAGATATTAAAATAATGGATATGCATGGCGTTGAATGCCATCAAATATATTATTATCGATCGAATAGAACGAGAAAATTATGCTAAAGAATTAGCCAATAATTATATGACTTGTTAAAAAACATCTGTAGTGCATTAAAAGAAACGAGAGCGTAAATATATCGAACAATTAAAAAATAACACTAAAAAGCAAGGAAACAAATTTAGTGTTTCATTATGTCAATCAATGATAGATAATACATTGGCGTGATTAAAATTAGTAAAAATAACCTCATAGTCAAATACACAAACATTGATAATTTGGTTCATATTTCTTTTTAATCAGAAAAGTTATTTCGATTAAAAAATATTTACGAAGAAGATGTTGAACAATTAACAAAAATGAATAATAATAGCTTTGTCATACTTTCTTATTCGTTACAAAATTTATGAATCTGCAACTTTGCAGTCCCCCAGTACTAATCAAGTAATCATAATCTATTAAAGTTGTATAAAAATTTCTTTTGTTCAATGCAAAACCAACAGGTTTTAAAATCATTTGAAAACTTCCGAAACTCTCTGAATATTTAAGTCAATGGCGTATCCTGCTATTGGCAAATGCCCACCATTTTTAACGTTATTGCCCATTAGTTTCTTTTTTTTTTGAAAATAGCGATAATTACCTATAGCTATGTACTCCGCTAAAAAGTTTCAGTAGTATGTTGCGCACTACTCAAAAAGCTTACGTATGTCATTTATTCAAGAAAATGTAAGTGTTTTTTTTTCTTTTATTTGTTTTCTTGTATTGCAAAGATAAGCAGATATTAGTAAACTGCTACGCAGAATATAATAGAGACATCTTTTTATTAAAAACCGAACATAAATTACGATTAATTTTTTATCATTCATATTGACATAGACTGTTATCTATAAATACTTTTTCAAAATCTTTATTTTATTGTTTCTAGAAGTATTATTATGTTGAATATTATGGATATTGTTGAATCAACATTAGCTACAACTATATCTAATAATTCAAACAATAAGTATTGTGTAGAAAGATTTTCAATAACAAGATGTTATTTGTTTGGTATTATTTGTATGTTGGCTTATCTCTTTTTAGCATTTTCTCTTTTACCTCAAATTATTCATCTATTTCATTATCGTACACGATATATAGCTGGTATTAGTTATATATGGATTATAATTCGAACATTGGCTTTAATTTTCTTAATAATAGAGGATGCTTTTAAATGGACATCGATATTGAAATTAATTGCATTGATATCAACAATTATAATTTTTTTACAAATCATTATATTTTCAAATAATCTTCATCGACAAAATAAAATTATTTTAATTTTTATTAGTTTATGCATATGGATTATTGGTTTAAGTTTTATAATTTTCTTTGGAAAACAAAAAGATTTGTTTATAAATATTGGTTATATTTTACTTGCTATACAAATATTACCACAAGTAAGAAATAATTTTTTAGTTTATTAATCGAAATTCTATCTTACAATTTTATTTGATTAGGTTTTACTTAATTCATTATTAAGAACAACGAAAGCTTTATCAAAATTTTCAATAATTTTTTTAGTGATAAGTGATGGACTTTTATTTTCTATTGCTCGTACAAATCATTCTCAATTATTGAAATTTATTGCAATCTATTATTCATTTTCATGTTTCTTATTTATTTTTCAACAAACTATGATCTATAAAGATAAACATATACATTTAATATCTCGTTCAGCACATGCTATTCATACACCAGGTGTTGATATATTTACAGGACTTGATATTAATGGAGTACAAAGTACAGGACAAGATCCACAAATGTTTTCAATTGAAGATTTCGAACCAATGGATGGAATGAATGCTGTTTATCTACCAGTTACAACAAATGAATCATCAAAACAAATAGTTCAACAAACATCAATAGAAAAATATGTTTGGTATGCAAAACTTGGATGTATTTTTACTATTGAAACTATTGTTACAATGATACTTTTCTATTATGTTTCGTCTTTATGGATAATATTTGTTCCTATTTCTATTCTTGTCATCGTTTGTATCTTCTTTTTATTACGTACTAGATTAAGTTCTTCACAAACAGAAAATTTGAAAAAAATTTTGTAATTTCTTATTTCTTATTAATTCATATTTAGCTTGTCTTTTTTTGTATATGTAAACACGAGATAAACTTTGATAATAATATAAAATAATCTATGATTCATCAGTATTTAATATCTTACAGATTTTAGTATAAATTCTAATAAATACTTCTGCTTCGAACACATCATGATCACTGATATTGTTTCGTGTAAAATATGCATTTATACACAATTATTGCTTTACTTAGTGAATACATAAGCAAAAATAAAATTGTATTAATTTAAAAAAGCATCGCTTGAGCAAAAAAATAAATAAACGAAGTTTGAAGATAAGTTTTTGCATCAATCCTTTGATTTTTAAATCTTGTAGTTAATAGCGAAATATTTTTAACTGATAAATATCGACTGATTTCGAATTATGGCTAAGAAACTTCAAAATGATCCAGAATAGAAATAAATCAATTAGTCCTAGTTTTGTCACAACTTAAGAAGACTGAACTTTGCTCTATCTAGCTATGACTGATGGTCTATTTAAATCAACATCTAATATCTTCTATATTATTCTCAGGGTCCTCCCTAAAGAACATCAGTGAATAATCAAATCTTTTGGCATTTATCCTGTGTTGTTCTTACTAACCTTCCCGCACTACTCTGAACTTTCAGTGTTCAAAATTGTTTAAGAAAGAGTCCATGTACTCAAATATACCGCATTATTTTGTATCAAGAATCTGATATATGTTATTTATTTATAGATGAAGATGCGGTACAGAATTTTAGGAAGTTGTACTTTTCAAAATGCTGAGAAATACTAATTTAACTTGCAAGTTTCGTGAAAAATGCTTAAAAACGACGAAAAGCTCGTAAAAAGTATTCGAACATCTAGTGTCTTTCCTTCCAGTGTAACTAGGGAAAAGTGGTAGGGAAGAAGGGTTCAAGTTCATATTAAGGAGAAGCTGAACTGTTAGTAGGAGGAAGGAGATATTGAAGCGTTCTACAAGAGTTTGATCCTTGCTAGGTGTCATCTGCTTATGTAAGTGCCCTTCTTTTTTCTGAATCTCCTGTATACACGGTTTCTTAGTACTTATTCTTCCTTCGTTTGAAGAAAATTGAAATCTGAAACTCTCAATTAGTGTGCTACAATTATGTCGGGTGTCCAGCACCTTAAACAATTCGGTAATGATCGAGCAATCATTCGATTGGCGTACAGATTACAGGAGTGGACGGCAATATTGTTTTACTAAGAGAATTCTTTGTTAATGAAAATTTGTCTACGAATGATGATGAGCCATATGACGAAGTAGCTTAACACATGAAGAGAAAAATTAATTATCAGAAAGGTGAACATGTATTATTATTATTATTATCATGGAAAAAACATTCATGTATGTATTTACAATGATGAAGTTTGCCATCAACACTAGATTCCATTTCAGCGTCACTAGTAACAAATAAGCGTATAGTTATTTTATGAAAGAAACTAAATAGTATACTTTTTTGTATAAAGAAAAGTTTGAAATTCATATTATGACTTGAAAGTATCTACCGAATGTTGATTAGCTTCAGTCCAAGTTTGGGTGTCAAAAAAATTGTCCGATTTCGCTAAACTATATTTTATTGAATAAAATCAGCATGAATCAAAATAAAATGATATTCATTATGAAAATAAAATCCTATGAAAAACCAATCTGACGTATATAAAAATTAAAATTAAAAAAAAAATTCGCATTTTGTTCTCAATTACTCTCGTTTTGTTTTTTTTATAATAGGCATCATATTATTTGATACAATTAATCGTATACAATGATCATATTCATCCAATTTAGCACACCAACCTCTATTAAACCAAAATTTAGTATTAAATTTTTTACATGCTTCATGTGGTGTTGAGAAGATCAATAATTGTCCAGGTGAAAATGGTTTCATTAATGCAATTGTTAAATCCAATTGATCAACTTTAGATAGAGATGATTGAAAAATATTTTCCCATTTCTCAGCATTCATATACTCATAATGATTAAGTAATAACCATAGAGATCGTAATTGAGTTAATTCATGAAGAAATAATAAAAGATGATCAAATGAAATTGAATCAATAACTAATTTAAGAGAATTTAAACGAAGTGAATATTTTTCAGTAAACGAACCACAAATTTTTTCTGTCCATTGTTTCGTATCATTTAATCCAGAAATTGTTGCTTTAAGAGTATATAAATCAGGTGTATATTGAAGTAAATGTGTTAATTCTTGTAACTGACACCATACAATTGATAATTGTTTAATATTAGATATTTTATTTACATTATTAAATGTTGTTCGAGAACACATATTCATTTTAACATGTTTTAATCGAGGACTAATGAAAAAATTATTACCAATATTAACAACTGACAATCTTTCGACATCATTACTATCAACTGATAAACGTATATTAACAAGATGAATGAGATGAATAAGTGCCAGTTGAATAATAGATATATCAGATATTGTTATTTTAATAATCACTAATGTACGCAGATTTTTAAAAAGGCTTAAATCAATAGAATAAGAGTGTAAGAAAAGACTAACTTGTTGATACTAAAATTAAATTTAAGAAAAATCAAATATTTATTAAAAATTTTCATTTTAATACAATTAAATCGAACCTCATCAGTATCATATGTTCCAAATGTAAATGAAACAAGACGATCAATAATTTTTGGAAGAATATTTTCAACATAAGAATGAAATTCCCTTAGAGTCAAAGATGATATATTATCACGAAAACGCATACGAGAATCATTTAATATTGTATTGAAACGATGATTAAGTCCATGAAATGTTTGATATAAATCAATGGGTGATAGACGATCAAAGATTTCAAAAAAAACCTCATCAGAAAATGTTTCAAGTACAGATGGCATTGAAATTATATTTTCTATTAGATATATTAAAAAAGAATCAATGTAAATAATCAACTGAATATAAAATGAACGACGACATTATACAGGTTGCCAGGGTTAGACAAGAACGAATAGGTATTGGCGTTATAGATTGTCGAATAGATAATGTGATTTCTTCAGGACAACTGGTGTAGAATTTTTCTTATTGCTGAATCGTATCATCAAGCAAACAAATAGTAAATATATTAATGAATCTTTAATTTTTCATATATATCAATGACAAAAGAGAAATGAAACTTGTTTCTATTTGCAGGTTATGCTCATTTTTTTACGATTATTTCGTTTCATTTATATCCTGCAGATGGTGTTAGATAACATCTACTTGTAACAGTATATTGCATGATATTCTAAAGTTTTTACAAATGTGTTCATCCGTATGTATTCAAAATGTTAATAAGATTTCGATAAATAGTCGGATTTAAAAGATTGTAATTTTATATTAAAAACAAATTAGATAGGACAAACGGTCTGTCTGATCTGACACAAGATTCGACCTGGCCTGACTGTGACAGGCCCGACCTAAGAACCGTGGTCTTTGTTTGTCACAAGCAAATCGATAATACTTATCTATCCAAGGCAAATAATGCTGCAATACTTCAACAGCGAATTTCATATTTTTTATCATTTTAAGAAATTTTTTTTGCAAATGAAAACACTTATTAAAACTTAGATCGATGGCAATTTCATATTAGCTTCGACTTTAAGAATTATTTGGCAGTTCTTTTGAAAGAAACTGAATAATTCTTAAAAGTTCTATTTCCATAAACAGAACAAAGTTGTGTTTGTGTTGGAGAAAACTCACATAATAGAACAGTTTCGTTACTTTTGCAGGAACAAGATGTTTTCAGATAGTTCTGTTCCATTCAAAAGAACTATTAACATAGATCAGTCGTTATAAAAGGGACCGGGGTATGACTTCTTTGGATCAGATATGGATGTAGATATCAGTAAAGAGAAGAGCCAGGTGGCGTCGAAAGATTTTAGCTACACTGACTAACGCCTGCCGGTGTACCGCTTATAGTAGAGTTTTTTTTTTTAAGAAAAACAGCTCAGTGTGTAGTAAAACAGATAAATGAAAGCACGGAATTTTTTTTCTTTTCTTTTATTGTCCTATCGTCTTCTTGTTATGCAAACAATCTTGCATTTTTGACAGAAATAAAAGAAAGAAGTATTTATTTTATTACATATTCATTCATTGAGTCATTTGAAATCTTGGATTTGACAAGCCTTTAGAAGATGCTGAAAGATTCTGCTTTACCTATATAAGCCTATACGTTGTGTGAGAAAGTATATCTCTGTAGAAGAATATTTTTGTGCATATTAATAGGAATTACTTACAGATGCTATTTGTTCAGTTTTTCGATATTACGAAACAGCGAAGAAAACCTATGATTTTGGATATGCAAATGTGTTTTCTGTTTCATCACATACTCTGACAATTAATATACTCATTTTTTTTTCTTTTTCTGGATTTTTTTTAAAACATGATGTCTTCAATTTCGATCCTTGAACTATTACCCAATGAATTACATCTGATGATAGCCAAATATTTAACAATCTATGAACAGTATCAGTCATTTTCTGAACTAAACCATCGTTTCAATCTACTAATCATGAAGTCATTGCCAACCGAAGTTGATATATATAGAAAACGATTATGTAAAGATATTATAAGATTAGCCCATACATTGATAAAGGAACCAAATCGTTTTTTTATCAATTCTGGATCCACCAAAAATATTTTATGCGATTCCGCAGCTTTCAGCATATGATCGTGGTATTCAATGGACTTTTGTTGATGAGAAATGTTCGCATCATACTGATCTTCAATGTACTGCTTTCAATATAATTTATGAACATCCTGTTGAAATCAATTTATTACTTAAACAAATTTCGTATTATACTCCAATAGTGCATTTATTGCATAAAGATGATGATGAAGGTCTTTATAAGTAGTTTGAAAAATATGAATATCACTCTTACGAACGAGTTAATCGATACTATTATTGTGAATTGAGTTATGAAAGGAGAGATGCGAATCCTGATTTGCACAGCGTGAATTTTAACATAAACTATTCCCTTTTGAATAAATTAGAAGAACAATGTGAAAAGATCTGTGATCAAGTAGAGCAAATATGGATTAAGCTAAGAGAATTAGATAATATTAATATAATAAATCTGATTTAAATTTAAAAAGAAAACTAATCATTTGGCCTTTTGTTGCCTCTTTCTCACTGCAGTTGCATTATACTATAATCTTGACTCTTAAACAAGACTCTCACAAAGAAGTTGATTTTAGTTTTATTACATCGAAGTCGAAATCAAATTAATGACTTGATAAGGTTTTAAAATTCTGGTCCGATTTCAAGACATTCATCCTATTCTAGCCCATTCTAGTTCATCGACTGAAAATCTGTGGAGAGAAAACTATAGGTTAGACTCGATCGATGCATTTTTACGATAGGCACCCATGGGTTGTGATCAATGGCCTCTGTAGGATGCTTCATTGTTACATTAATCCCAGTTTTGTTTCCCCGAGGAAATTTAGTTGCTTTAAACACCATAATGTTTCACCTCGTTTTTTGAGCTAAAAATTTATTTAAAAAGTATGAGTTAAATATGATGATTAGTTTCTTGCATTTGAAATTGAGTTGCTGAGCTCCTCATTTTGATTTAAACAGATGAAATTAACATCTTAGTAATTCCAATCATACTCGGAAGGTCTGGCCACTAGTATTAGCTATCATGAACTGGGCTGGTTATCAGCTCGAACTCATTTGAACTAGACTTGATCGCCAAATTTCGACTGAATTCTTATGAGAGTGTAGGTGTATGTGTTAGAATCCAATGTACACTCACACCCTAAATATAATTAACACAAACTATTCATGATAACTCGTGTTATCAAAAATGAAAACAGATTGAATGTTATAAAATGAAATAAATGAACTTTGAAAAATACTTCATTGGTTATCGAATATCCGATCAAAATGGTTTATTTAATCTTCATCAATAATTTTGCCTAAAAATATTAAATATTATCAACTATATGTTCTTTAAAAATCAAAGGTTTAATAATAACATTGAATAGTTCAATTGTAAAACTTGTAAATGAATAAATATGAAATTCTGTTGTATTATCCTATTTCACTTTATTTTCACTTGTGATAAAAACTTTCTTTTAATAGGCCTAGTAGGTAAAACTTGTGTGTAAATATGTAATAATAAATAATAAATCTTTGTTCTGACATGATTGTTATTCATGACGATAAAAAAGAAAGATTTGGAGTCAACAGACATAACATTCAAAAAGAAACACGAGTACATATGAAAATCAGTCTTGAAATAAGGGTAAAAAGGATGCAATTATAGAATGTCACACTATAACTGTATTCAGAACATACAACACTATGTCTCAGGTATTGTTTTTTTCTATAGAAATTTAATTTAGATCCGCATATGAACAATCAATGATAATGAGTTATGTCACATATTACATACGTCAATATTGTTGACTTCTTATGTCTAATTCACAACCCTAATTACTTAGTCATTCGCTCTAATTGATTATTAATGTACACATCCAAAGTAGCATTTGAAAACAGGAGAAAGGAAAATAAAGATATAACTAAAGACCAGATTAATCGCTGTACTGCGATATGATTGTAAGAGGACAAAAAACTATAGACATATTGTCGGCAGTTTGATACTTAAACAGTTGGCTATCATTTGTTCTTTATTATTGATAGTGAGAGCAAACATGCGACATGGGTACTTTTTTAATAAAAAAACCCTTTATAAAAACTTGTAGAAAACGTCAGTGTAACGACAAATTGGACGAGTAGCTTACCGCCACTTTCGGTTATGGTGCTTATTTAGCCACCTGATATCTCGAGAATGTATCTATCGTACATTAAATGCAAGCATATACACGAAAGAGATGAATCAAGGAAACAACAATAAAGAGAATGGGAAGAAAAGATGTGAGGACAGCAGTGAAAGAGTGATATCACATAGATAGACTCGTTCAATCAGTTTAGGTGCACTTCGCAGCATCTGAACAATACAGAAAAAAAAATAAGGACCAATTGTGACAAAGGAAACAGAACACACCAATCCAATTTATCATTTGAATTTTATCAATCATAGAAACAAAAGATACAAACGATGTTGAATAATAAGATTTGTAGCACTGATATCAATTCCATTACTTTACATCGAGATTTCGTTTATGATTTACATATCATCGAAAAATTTACGTAACAGCATAAGAAAATGATAGCACCCCCACAAGAAGTGTTTAAAATAGATCATTTTCATACTTTTTTACGTAGTTTAACTCTGACATTTCATATAAAACATTAAAAAAAGACAATCATTCAATGAGACCGAGAAGTAGAAATTCTCATTTTCATAAATTCCTTTATTATACATTGACATTTGTCGCAACATAGAAAAGACACAAGAATTTAGTTTGACAGATGTCAAAATAGATAACAAAATCAGTCACATATTTTCGCACTTAGGAAGCGCTTCAAAATATATTCCGGTCGGTCGGTCGTTATTCTTTCGTTTCTTTATTCCACTATTTCTATATTCCTCAACCATTCCACCACTGTTCCTCTGCTCCCTTATTCCTTATTCCTCAAGTCCTTCATTTATCTATTCTTTTATTCATTGTTTTCTCTACATCTCTATTGCAGAACATTTGATTATGTACCGCCTTTTAGTTCAAAAGTGAATTTTTTCTTTTATTTCATATCTTCAACGATTACTAATCACTCTTTGAAAGTATTACTCAATCATTAAATTATCGATTGCATATCGAAATCACAAATGTTTATTATGTATTGATAAATTCTAGTGTGAAACTATTTGTATGTTCAGAAATAAGAACAATTTTTTAATTAAAAATGAAATCTTATCATTTTTTCTCTAAGTAGTCTTGAATAATTTTAACTGTCGATACTTATGTCTTTATTTGATTAGGAAGTGAAGACTAATAAATATCAACGGTTTAAGTTATTCAAGACTACTCAGAAAAACAATGATAAGATTGATTTTTAATTAAAAAATTGTTCTTATTTCTGAATATACAAGTAGTTTCACACTAGAATTTATCTATATATAATAAACATTTGTGATTTTGATATGCAATCGATAACTTAATGATTGAGTAATACTTTCAAAGAGTGATTAATAATCTTTGAAGATATGAAATAAGAGAAAAAATTCATTTTTGAACTAAAAGGCGGTACATAATCAAATGTTCTGCAATAGAGATGTAGAGAAAGTAATGAATAAAAGAATAGATAAATGAAGAAATTGAGGAATAAAGAATAAGGGAAAGAAAGAATAACGATCGACTGACCGGAATATATTTTGAAGCGCTCCCTTATCTATCTTCTTCTAATATGATGGCATAAACACATAAAAAAGCAAAATTAGAACTTTTGTATGAACCAGAAAAAAATTACTTGTTAGTCACTTTAAAAATTTCTTACACATTGTGAGTTACATCAAGCCGTTAAAATGAAATTGCTCGCAACATACAGAGAATTCAAGTTCAAGTGTAAACGATATTTGAAATGATATTATATCGTACTTTTCAATGTGATAACATCGTTATATCATACAACAGTTTAAAAGACGAAATGAGAAAAGAAATTATCCTCGCCACTAGAGCACTGCACTAGATTTCAAAAGTCGACTTTGTCGAAGTAGGAATCGTAAAAAAAATAATCTTTAGAATGAAAATACTGCAAAGAATTTTTTCCATTGTCACTCTCGAAGTTAGATAAGTAAAACAATCAAGTATTTTTTATTCGTATAGAGAGAAAAAAAATATCAGAGAAATATTCTCATAAGCAAGAAGCATCGAGAGAAGTATATATGCTAGTCAGAAGAAAATTTTGTAGTTTCTCACAAACGGAGTTAAACTTCGACAGACATTACTAACAGAGTTCGGTTTCGAAGCCAAAAGTTAGACTTTGCAGAGCTCTAGTCATAACACACGTGCCATACAACGAGCAGCTCATTTTCACACGTTTCGATGCCTATTGCAGAACTTCAATTCAATAAAATAATGAAGAAAACTGCCAACATCAAAGCATCAATAAAAGAACTATAAAAAACAATGTATTCTAAAGAATGTCAAACTTGTTGTAGTAGCTCTTTATATATAGCAAACGTATTTCACATTTTACTCTATCAGTATAGCTGTTCTAATTAGTATAAGAAACAGAACAATTATATCCGCTTACACTAATTAAAGAAAAAAGTTCTTTTGACATCTTTATCTTTATATTATCATTCATAGCCGCTGATCGATTAGTTTTTATTGTTAATTATGCTCATTTATGAATATCTGATTATGACAAATCTTTAGTCCTTGATAGCATTGAGTTTGATTAAATAAAGATGGTGATAACAGACAAGAAACAGAGCATTGTTGCTTGACTAATCTTACTTTCAATGATATAATCATACCATTGATGATAAACAAATTTCGTTTCTTTTTCATTGATATACGGCGATGCTAATTATCATCAACACCAGCTTGTTTCTGTTTTTTTTTTGGAAGGAAACAAATATGATAGAGGTGAAGAAGAATGAAGTAACTTGAGAAGGAATGATATTTAGTATACTATTCTTGCAGAGAAACATTGGCTGAAACATTTGCACAATGGGCCTAATCCTAACTACCCTTCATTACATTCATTAGTGTTTTGAAATATTGTTTTTCTTTCACTATTGCAACAACTTAATATTACCACCATTCAACACAACCTTTTCTTTCAGATTTTATCTCTACATCCATTCATTATCTCAATCAGTATTTGTTACAGTCCGTTTCTTTTAACTTTAATTAATTTAATAATCATGATTGTCACTAATATTCTTCACAATTGTTTCCTGCGTATCTTCAAATGATGTCCTATGATACTGAGTTGTTGTTAGTTTTGACACAGTGACACTTGAAACTAGTAAAGGATCTTTGATACTCATAACTGTCATCTAACGATAAATTGAGGGAATAGCTTAGTACCACTCTCATTAACAGTATTTATCGAACTACTTCATATCGTCAGAATATATCTATCAAACGTTCAATACAAACTTATACAGGAGAGAACAATTAAGAGAATGAGAATGAGAAGGAAAGAGGAAGTGAGAGAATGATATAAATATCGGCACAGTCAGTAATACTTTTCATATGAATTTCAGCTAATTCGATTGATTTGTATTCACTACAATCACAAAAATAGCCTCAATTAATTGAATTTGAAATTAGAACTTTGAAACTAATAGATGCCGCTCATAGTCGAGAATCCAGCTGTTCTTATGAATCTGTTGTCGAGGCACGTCATTGATGACCCGATAAGAAAAAAACGGGGAAAAAACTTTGATCATATCAATTCAAATCAAATGCCTTTTTCATCCATATCGTCTTCTTCGTGTTCAGTCAAGCTCATTCGAAACTGTATTCCATCATTACATCTATTTTCAACTCCTTCTCAACAATCGACAACAATACGATTTAATATATGGCCAGTAGATCTTATCGAAACTATGTGTATCGAAGCATTTGGTCTTACAGCTCATATAGAACCCGAATCAAAATGGGTGATCATAAAGTAAATTTTACATTATATCATTTTTTTTAATCAAATAAATCTTCGATATATTTAGTAATGATAAGTTATAATAATTCTTCAAACAACTATAGTAAATAATTAGATTTTACGTTTTACCAATAAAACCAAAAAAAGAACACTAATATTAATAGTAAAAGCTTTCATTTTCATTTAAATACATTGCACTGTTTAGACTTTTCGTTTTTATCTATAGATATTCCAAAGCATTGTCTTTGACACTACGTTATGAATTCAATCAACTGACACATTCTACTATTGATGTCATAGTTTACTGTTCGTTTACATGTTCCATTTTGTTTATTTCTACATAGCATATATTGAATATATATATTTATATCTAGTATAGATATAACATTTTTTTTGTTGTTGTTTATAGATATGTTTTTTGATCATGAATCAACAGTAGTTATTACTAAACTCAATAATTTATCTGAATCAGTATTAACTACTTATTGTAAAAAATATGGTACTGTTCTTCGATGTTCAATTAAAACTTCCACGCAAGCTCGAAATAAAGATCCTTGTAAGTTCTTTATTATTTCACATATATTAATAATAATGTCGACTTTACAATATTCTTTTTTTCTCACCAAAACTGATCATTAAAATCTGTTGTTAAAGTTTTCGCTTTGTTGAATAAGAAAAGAAATCTTATTTAATTGGATAATATACTAAAGGATATATTTTTACTATGAAATTGAAACATTTTATTCAATATCTGTTTTATCTTATTATCAAAAAAATGGACTATTTTATTTTGAAAACATTTGTTAGCTTTATATGACAATTTCGAAGTATCGTAGAAAATATACTTGCATTAGATAGACGAACTATTAATTAGCTTCGTATTTTGAAAGAGACAATAAAGACTAGAAATACATCACCTTAAAAGAATGCAAATATTGATTACTGTCAAGACATTTGATAAGGATATAGATCTATGGGTTGTATACTCTGCATTTTCACAATGAAGACACGGTTAGTTAGATTCAAACAGTAGAAATTTCGATTACGGCTTGAATAATATATATGTTCATCGAGATAACTTATAGAGAAATAGATGTAAATTCATTATCTTTGTTAAAACTCATAAGAGAATGTTTTTGTTAATACGAATACACCGTCTAGTTGTGAGTCATTGAAGGTTTAGTCCAACTGTCACACTTTTTAATGTTCTTGCTTAATCTATTTCATTTCTCCATTCGTGTCTACTTTTTTTGTGCATAGAAGAAAGAAGAAAAAAACTAAACATCTACCAAGAGACCATGTAAGCAAAGAAAATAAATTGAAGGTGAACCATTATGATCGATTATTGTTGGATTATTATTATTCCCACCAATTTGAGCTAAAGCTTATTTCAATGTTGAAATGAAATCATTTCAGATAATTTCTTAAGGATTTAGAATCTATCAATTGAACTAACGATAATTTGATGCTATGACAAATTCCTTTACAATCCTTAAGATTAAACTTTCTAATCAATATCATTTTAGATGCTCTAATCAAATTTGCTGAAGCATCAAGTGTTTCTTCTATTCTTAATCATCGTAATCATACAATCAATGGTGTACATGTTGTAGTACGAAGTTATTATCAAAATACAAATAATTCTGGTTCAACACAAACATCATCAAGCTTAGTGTCATTAAACCAACAACATCGAACTAAATCTAATAATAATAATAATAATAATAATAAAAGTAACAACAAGAATAATAATGATAATAATAATAATAATAACACTGAGAATAGTAATGAAACAACACGAATGAGTTATAATCAAATAACGCAAGAAAATCATACACTTAAGCAGGAAAAAGATAATCTTCTAAAGTTACTATTTGAAGTATATTTATATTATAATACTGTTTACGATATGTACCAAGTTCGACAAGGACAATTTGGTAATTAACCATTTATTGTTTTCTAATTCCTAATTCATTAGTTTGATCGTTCTTTTATTCTTAAAGAAGCAGAGCAAGCTCTTACAAATAAACTCAAATCAGAATATGCAGCAATGGTTGAATCATATGAAGCTCGATTAAAACAATTACCATCATCATCATCGGTATCATCTTCTATAAAAACAATAGTTAAAGATAAAATAAAAGAAGAACCAATGGATTGTAATTCTCATACGAAACATTCAACTAATAATGCACTTGAAATGCAAATAATAAAAGATCATTTAGAACAAGCACAAATTGATTTAGGTACTTTTTTTTTTCTAACAAAAACAAATAAATCTATTTTCCTAATTGAAATTTCTTGTTCATAGGTAAATGTCAAACTGAAAATGCTCTACTTAATGCTAAATTAATATCACGTGAACAACAATTTGATATACGTTTTAAAGAACTAAATAATAAATATATGAATGTGAAAAAACAATATGAACATCTATCATCATGTATTAAAGATTTTCATGCAAAATTATATCCAAAGAAACGATTGAAATCTGAATTAAAAGATGATACTATCAATAAATCTGATCGAGAAAGTAGTAATAAAAGTAATGATTCAAATGATGATATAATGGAAATAGATCCAATATTATCATAAATTTACTTTTTTTTTGTTCTTGTATATTTCTCATCTTTTACATATTTCTATATGTTGTTCTTTTTCTTTTTTATTCCATTGTTCTTGCTTGTAGTTCGATATGCGTATACATATCATTGTGTTTATTGAGTACAGTTATAACTAACTAATATTATTGTTATTTTTTGGTTTTTGATAAATTTGTACTCTGCTTAATAATTTAAAATAATTGAAGATTTTTTTTAAATACAATTTATGAATATGTTAATGTTAGTGATAGAATAAAATACGGCAATGAAAATTCTCATCCGTAATAAGCTCTAACATCAATTGTTGTATCGGTTTTTGAAAACTGATGGAATATAGATGTATTCATTGACAGGTTCTTGTCAATATATGAAAATGAAGTTGTTAACTAGTGTCACAGTTTGTGAAACGAATACTGATGATTAGCATTTATCATTTATGCAATGCTAGCAGCATATATTGTTGTGTAAGAGACGAAGCTCTAACTTGACGAAAAAATCTCAGAGTTCGGATAAAATTAACAATATCTTTGATCCAAGAATTGTTACTGTTAGGAGATTTAGATAAATTGAAAAGACAAATCTCTCTTAGAGATATCTTCGTTTAGTTTATCTTGAGAATGATGCTATAGTATTGCATGGGTACCTGCCTGACTTGTAGGTTGCATTTCTGCGACACATCTTTAATACTTAAACAGAATAACCAATAAACTGTGTGATCAAGAGCATTGTTATTAAATAGTAGCCTTAAAAACACGACTTTTTGAAGTGTTTTTATGAATAGTATATTTGAAAATGAAGTTTGTGTCTTCTAAAATCGTTACTGTTTACATGCGTATCCTATTCATATTTGTATTGAGTATGGGCACTCGACCCGTGTGTTGTTATACTCTAGATGAAGTCGACTTCTTTCTCATCTTACCAGTGACGAACGAACTGTTGCAACTAAGTTATTGCCGTTTATAACGAAATATACTGGAAAATTGATTATCGATCTTGTTCATATTCTGTATTGGTATTCTCAATCATTAGCAATCAAGTCGTTTTTGTTGAGAAAGAAATTTATTAGTTGGAACCGCTTCCTCATATTGATAACTTTGAAGTTCTGAATTTGTTTTCAAATTGGCAAATTTTGAATTGTAGGTATACTTCAAAATACAAGACACCTTGCATTAGATCAATCATGAAACTTTAACATAAATGGCGAACACGGGACACATTGTCTAAAAAAAGATTATATAATATAGATGAAACAACTTTCTTTTTAATTTTATAGTAAATAAAACCAATGCATAATTTATTTTCTTACGAACAGATCTTATAATCTCAATTTGTTTCAGTTCATCTTATTTTGGACGATCTTTATAAGATGAACGAGTAAATGAAGAACTCGATGAAGGAATGTTGTACATATGGAAGTCAGACAATCAACGTGATGTAAAGCGCATCGTTCAAAATAGTTTGTTAGTGCAGTCCCTCTGACACTGATTATAATTGTTTTTCAAGATAATCGATTCTCTGATATGCGATCCGTCTTATTTATTTCTGCATTTCGAACAAAATTTTCCGGCACTCAACTTTTTGTTTGCCTTGTTGCTGTTCACTTGTTATTTCTCTTTTATATTATCACATATCTCAATAGACTCACAAACATTGGTACTGATGATGTTCTAAACTACTTGAATCAGTTTACATTTCATAAGATTAGAAAGCAAATCAATTAGAATATGCCATTCGAAAATTTTCTAATGAAATTAGAATTTTTGAAATAAACAGATGTCGCTCATAATCGATAATTGAACATTTCTTTCTTGTAGACGAATGATTCATCATTCGAAAAAAAAAGGGGAAAAATTCTTGATCGTATCAATTCCAATAAAATGTCTTCTTCATTCGCATTGTTTTGATTGTGTTCGGCCAAGTTCATTCGCAACTCTATTCCATCATTACATCTATTTTCAACTCTTTCTCAACAACTAGAGATATCTTAAGTGAAATTTGATTGTCCGATCTTGGAAAATTTTCGTTTTTCCTCAGCATAACTAAACGATTGTCTTCATTTTTGTTCACTAGTCCGTGCACAAGTATCACTCGTCCCCATCTGCTATGTGTCTGACTGCTACCGTCGTAGTAGTCACTTCATCCTTTCTCCCGAATCTCGATGACCTCAGGACGCTTCTGTCCACAATCAACAACAATACGATATAATATATAAGAAACGATTGTGGACTGTGGCACTTCATTTCTCTTCTTTGTTTTTCTTTATGTTTTTACTGATATAAATACGACTGGAACGTACAAGTAGCTTAATAAGCATTATTGTCGAGAGTGGTGATAGAGTCATTCCTCCGGTTCGTCATAATATAGCTAGTAGATCTTAACAAAACTAATATGTATTGATGCATTTGGTCTTATAGTCCATACCGAACTCGAATCAAAATAAATAATTATAAAGTAGATTATAAATTATTTCACTTTTTAAATTTACTTTCAATATATTTAGTAATAGTAAATTACAATAATAAACAATCTGGTTTTAATATATCATGATTTAAATCGAAAAAGGAGATTAGTGTTAATATCAAAAATTGTCGTCATCATTCATTGTTATGTATGCATATTGTTGGATTTGTCTGTAACCACGTGGTATAAATAAAAGAATAAAAAGAATTCAATCAACTGACACATTCTACTATGATGTCATAGTTTACTTTTTTTTTACGTGCATCTATTTCTGTTTATCTCTACATAGTACATTTAAATATATATTTATTTCTAGTATAGATGTAACTTTCTTTTTTGTTGTTGTTTATAGATATGTTTTTTGATCGTGAATCAACAGTAGTTATAACTAAATTCAATAATTTATCTGAATCAGTATTAACTACTTATTGTAAAAAATTTGGTACTGTTCTTCGATGTTTAATTAAAACTTCTACTCAATCTCGAAATAAAGATCCTTGTAAGTTCTTTATTATCTTACATATATCGATAATAATGTCAACTCTAGAATATCCTTTTTCCCGCTAAAATTGATCATTACGATCTATTGTTAAAGTTTTTGCTTGTTTGAGTGAGAAAAGAAATTTTATTTAATTGGATAATATACTAAAGGATATATTTTCACTATGAAATTGAATCAATATTTGTTTTATCTTACTTATTACAAAAAAAAGGACTATTTTATTTTGAAAACATTTGTTAGCTTGATATGACAATTTCTAATTATCGTAGAAAATATACTTGCACTAGATAGACGAACCATTAATTAGTTTTGTATTTTCAGAGGAAAAACGCATTGCCTTGAAAGAATACAAATATTGATTATGTGATCTATGCTCAGAGTTCGCACAATGAAGACAGTTATCACAGTGAGATTCAAATAATCGTCGTATCGATTCATATTTTTGTAGTTATAATATACACTTATCAGAGTGATTTACAGAGAAATGGATATAAATTTATTATTTTCGTTAATATTCATAAGAGAACTGTTTTGTTACTACTAGAGCATCGGTTAGTTACGACCCATTGAACGCTTAGTCTTATTACAACACTTGATAATATTTTTGATTAAGTTATTTCATTTCTTCACTCGTGTGCACTCTTTTATGTATAGAAGAGAAGAAAAACAATACAAATGAACCGTAATGATCGTTTATTTTATTAGTATTGATCCCAACCCGACTGAATCGTATGTTATTTCTGAAATAAAAGAACTCTGGATAATGTCATAACATTTTTGAATCTATCGATTGAGCTAAGAATAATTGAATGCTATGACAAGTTTCGTCAAAACTTAAACGATTAATTGTTTCTAATCACAAAGTAATTATTCTTATTTTAGATGCTCTAATCAAATTTGCTGAAGCATCAAGTGTTTCTTCTATTCTTAATCATCGTAATCATACAATCAATGGTGTACATGTTGTTATGCGAACTTATCATCAAGATACAAATAATTCTAGTTCAACACAAACACCACCAAGCTTAATGTCATTAACCCAACAAAATCAATCTTTATCTAGTAATAATAATAATAATAATAATAATAATGACCCAAAGCCAACGAATTATGATCAACTAGTTCAAGAAAATCATGCGCTTAAATATGAAATAGGTAATCTTCAAAAATCATTACTTGAAGCACAAACATATTCGAAAACTGCTTATGACACATTTCAAGTTTTACGAGAAAAATTTGGTAATTGACGAGTGCTGTTTTTTTTTTATTTTTTAAATAATTACTACGGTTTTTCTTTCTTTTTTTTTGTACAGAAGCAGAACAAGCTCTTACAAATAAACTCAAATCAGAATATGCAGCAATGGTTGAATCATATGAAGCTCGATTAAAACAATTACCATCATCATCATCGGTATCATCTTCTATAAAAACAATAGTTAAAGATAAAATAAAAGAAGAACCAATGGATTGTCATTCTCATGCAAAACATTCAACTAATAATGCACTTGAAATGCAAATAATAAAAGATCATTTAGAACAAGCACAAATTGATTTAGGTACTTTTTTTTTCTAAAAAAAAACAAATAAATCTATTTTCCTAATTGAAATTTCTTGTTCATAGGTAAATGTCAAACTGAAAATGCTCTACTTAATGCTAAATTAACATCACGTGAACAACAATTTGATATACGTTTTAAAGAACTAAATAATAAATACATAAATGTGAAAAAACAATATGAACATCTATCATCATGTATTAAAGATTTTCATGCAAAATTATATCCAAAGAAACGATTGAAATCTGAATTAAAAGAAGATACTATCAAGAAATCTGATCGAGAAGGTCGTAATAAAAGTAATGATTCAAATGACGATATAGTAGAAATAGTTATGCAAGTAGATCCAATATCATCATAGATTTGATATTTTTTTTTCTTGTAAATTTCTTACTTTTGACATGTTTCTGTTTGGTGATTTTTCGTTTTCAATTCGTTCATTTGCTATTGTTCTTCTTCGATATACGTATATAT